TCCCCCCCTCCCCCACCATGACACCCAGGGGCAAGGTGGGTATGAGATCCTATCAGCAGGTACAGGGCCCACCTGGCCTTAGAAGCTTCTTGTCCACAGGGGCCAATAACTCAGGAAACTACTCCATAGGAATGGACACAGCTTCCCAGGAAGTGTTTATAGGTAAGCAATTTACTCAGAAGGGCTCTGTTTACTCTGAGTCGGTTGCCTGGCAACCCAGCTGATACTCCACCTTTATCAGGCTTCCACGGAAACTATCTGGAAAGTTCATTTCCCAGACACTATCTGCTCACCCTTGACCCAGTTAATAGGACCTACTTTTGGGGGTGCTTCTGAGCACATGATGAAATAGTATATTTTTATTACATACAGGGTGGCCCCAAAAAATGTATACACACTTGAACAGCTGATAAGCTCAATTTTGAAAATGAAATGTATGTTAATAAACACTGCCTTGCCCTGACCGGTTTTGCTCAGTGGTTAGAGCATTGGTCTGTGATCCCCAGCCCTGTCCAGGGTGCGTGCGGAAGGCAACCAGTCGATGTGGCTCTCTCATATCGATGTTTCTCTCTCTCTCCCTTCCTCTCTCTCTAAACTCAAAAAAAAGAAAAGAAAAGAAAAGACAGCCCTGGCCCTATGGCTCAGTTGGTTGGAGCTGGTTGGAGCATATCTCCTTACCAAAGGGTTGTGAGTTCTATCCCCAGTCAGGGCATCAGGAGGGGTTGGGGGGAGAAGACATGCAGCTGATCAGTGTTTCTCATATTGATGTTTCTATCTCTCTTCCTCTCTCTCTAAAATAAATAAAAACATATCCTGGGGTGGGGATTAAAAAAAAGAGACATAATAGAATTGTTTCCGAATGGAAGCCCAGGGTGGGTGAGAGCGCAGGCTCTGAGAACAGAGTGCCCCCGTTCGAATCCCAGCCCTGTCACATGCCAGCTAGTCAAGTAACTTCACCTCTCTGCCTCAGTTTCTTCACCTCTAAAATGGATCTAAGAACCTAGTTTGTAGAGTTTTTAAAAAAAATATATTTTATTGATTTTTTACAGAGAGGAAGGGACAGGGATAGAGTTGGAAACATCTACCAGAGAGAAACATCGATCAGCTGCCTCCTGCACGCCCCCTACTGGAAATGTGCCCGCAACCAAGGTACATGCCCTTGACCAGAATCGAACCTGGGACCCTTCAGTCCAGAGGCCGAAGCTCTATCCACTGAGCCAAACCGGTTAGGGCGTTCGTAGAGTTTTTGCAAGACCAAATGAGTGAATCATGTGAAGCATTTAAAACAGTGTCTGGCACACGCTAAAGACTCAGTATCAGTTGTCATCAGTATTGCTGTTACTGTTCATATTGCTATTATTAGTCATTAACAATGGTGAGTCAGCTCTAAATACATCAACGGAAAACCATCTCCATGATAGAGTATTAAGTTATAAAATAAAAGCCAACTCCGTCGCTAATACCCACATTCCTGCAAAAACAGGTTTACCTGATATAACAAGAGCTACCAATTTCTAAGTGCTTACCAACTCCATGTCCACACAACAGAAACAAAACTATTGTCACTAACTTCCACCCCAACTCAGGCACCACACCCTGCCACTGTCTACTCTATTTCATTAAAAAAATCAGTAGCAACCCATTCAAAAATCTTTGTCCCATTAGTAGGGTGGGACTCCCACGTTTAAGAAGATCTGAAAAGCCCTAGCTGGTGTTGCTCAGTGGATAGAGTATCGGCCTCCGGACTGAAAGGTCCCGGGTTTGATTCCGGTCAAGGGCATATGCCCGGGTGTGGGCTCGATCCCCAGTAGGGGTCGTGCAGGAGGCAGCCAATCAATGATTCTCTCTCATCATTGATGTTTCCATCTCTCTCTCCCTCTCCCTTCCTCTCTGAAATCAATAACAATATATTTTTTAAAAGAAGAAGATCTGGAAGGAAGGATACTCAAGAAACAAGAAGTTGTGCTGCTTCTGGGGAAGGGGCTGTGGGCCAGTGGGGTGGGGAGAGGAGGCCTTCTTATCAATATGCCCTGTTCTGATGCTTTTAAACTTTATTCCAGCCCTGAATGGTGTGGCTCATTTGGTTGAGCATCATCCTGAGCACTGAAGTGTCACTGGTTTGATTCCCGCCAGGCACATGCCTGGGTTTCAGGCTCAATCCCTGGTGGCGGGGTGTGTGAGAGGCAGCCAATCGATGTTTCTCTCTCTCTCTCTCCCTCTCCCTTCCTTTCTCTCTAAAAAAAATCAATGAAAAACATTTTTAAAAAATAATAGAAAATAAAATAAAATTTACTCCTGGGTGCACATACATGTTCCCATTTCTCCAGGGGAGGGATGGGGGTTAGGCAGAAGGAAAAAATAAATAAATAAAGCTGGAGTCTGATCAAACCAAAACTAGAAACTCCCCTTGATCAACCTTTTCTGGCCCCCGTGGCAGAAAACACCACAGTGGGAGTTCTAAAGACACAGTGTCCAGTGGGATTCGGGGGTGTGTGTGGGGGGGGGGAGGCACCTGCAAGGAGCTGTGAACGGAGAAGAGGCAGGAAGAGGCGGAGGCCGCCGTGGGCGCAGCAGGGTCCTGGAGCACCAGCAGCTGGCGGTCTGTCTTCTGCGTGAACAGGAGCTGTGGGGGAGGGTGACAATGAGCAGGAGCTGGAGGGACCGCAGAGGACCCACAGTTCCAGGATGCTCTGGCCGAGGTCTCCAGCGCCAGCCCATTTCTCAGTGGAAAAAACAAAGGCCCAAAGTCACAAGAGGGCTGGAATGGGGGCTTGGTGTCCAGTCTCCCAGCATGAGTGAGGACTGTGGGCAGACTGCCTGTTCCCGGAGGAGTAGGAGCTGGGGACCCAAATTCCTGAGGCCCACGGGCAAAAGGGATTAGAGGCCGAGAATCCTGGCTCCCACGGGAGGAGGGGCTGACGGGTGCATGACATCCCCATACCTTAGTGAGGGCCTGGCTGGGCTCAGAGAAGTCTCCGCCAGGGCTTCCCTGGAAGCAATTCAGCTCAAGCAGTCGGCTCCGTTCCTAGGGGAAGGCAACACATCACAGGCCGCCACACCTCCGAGGCTGAACGGGCCATCCCAGCCTCAGGGAGGCGATGGATGCCCCAGGGAGGGGGGTAGGCGGACTGGGGGCCACCTACTTGTGTCAGCGCCTGAAGGGCCTCCTCCTTCTTCTGGCTCAGCCCCCGGCTCTCAGCTGCCATCTGTTCTCCCAGCGACTTCAGCTGCTCCTCCAACACCTGAATCCGGCGCTGCAGGACCCCCCAGGGCCCTCGTTACTCAGCTGCCCCAGCGTCCCCAGCGCCCCCAGTGGCTCCCACCTTCTTTCCTTGGGGGCGTCCAGAGAGGGGGTGGAGGATTTGATATACAGAGAGACCAAGGGACACTGAGACCCAGAGAGAAAAAGGGACAAACAGAAAACAAACCGGAAGAGAGACAGGAAGAAGGACCCAGACAGATCCCAAGAGACAGAGATGCAGAGAAAGAAAACAAGGCAGAAACAGCACCGAGGCGGACAGAGCTGTGGGAGACAGAGGAAAGGAAGAGGGAGACGGGAAAGACACCCAGGCACAGGGGTGGAGAACTCTGCCATCCAAAACTGCAGGAAGCTTTGTGGTAAGCAGAACCAGACACGTTGCTTTTCCCAGCGGCCTTCGTCAGCCCCTAGGACGTGAGGCGCCCAGAAAGGACTGGCGGGAGGTCTTTTTGGACTCGGGTTTGACAGGCATGGAGTGTAGTGGTGAAGACCGAGTAGGTTCAAATCCCAGCTCTGTCCTTGACAGGCGGAGTGACCTTGGAAAAGATTACATGAATACCCTGAACCTCAGTTTCTTCATTTATAAAATGGGGGAAATAAGCTGTGCCGCCTAGGATTGCTGTAAGGATTCGATGACTAAATGCCCATGAAATGTCACTGTGTGCCCGGCGCACAGTAAATGCTCAATAAAACATCAGCTATTGTTGTTTGTTGTTACTACTGCGAAGTGACACAGGTAGGAAACAGAGAAAGTGCCAGAAACGAGTGGAAAAGCCAGCGGGTGACGTGAGGGAGGCAGGCTAGTCCAGCCCAGCTCACCCTGTGCTGTGCCACGCTGGCCTGAAGCTCCTGGACCTTGGGGCCCAGCGCCCAAACGCCAGGGCTGTCCCGATGATCCTCCTCCTCCCGCCGGCTCTCCCGCTCCAGTTGCTGGAACTCCAGGTCCTCGTAGGCACGCTGGGCCACATCCAGCTGTTCCCTGATCTGTGGGCAGAAACGCAAAAGGGCTGGACCCCCAGGGCTCAGGAGAGGAAGGGGCGGGGCCAGGACTCCTGGTCAAGGAGCACCCAGACTTGAGTGATGGGGTTGGGGGACTCAGGGGAGGAGGGTACTGAAGGCCTGTACTTCCACGGGGCCCTCACCTCCTGCACGCTCTGCAGAAGCCGCTCACGCTGGTCCTCTGGCTGCGAGTCCAGCCGCCCCTGGGCTTCCCGAAGTCTCTGACGAAGACCCTCCACGCGCTCCCTCTCCTGGCTCAGCCGCCTCTGCTCCTGAAAGAAAAGCCAGGCTTGGAGTCTTCCCCTGAGCACAAGGGACAGACACGGAGGCCAGCAAGGGCCCGGCTGGCTGGCTGGACCTCAGACCCCTCCCTGCCCGGGGACGGCTCCATGAGGGCAGGACCCCGTGTGTCTGGTTCACTCTTGTACTGGCCTACCCAGAGTAGTAGGCATCATACAAACAGCTATTCAAGAAATGAGGCTTGGAGTCTTCCCCTGAGCACAAGGGACAGACACAGAGGTCAGCAAGGGCCAGGCTGGCTGGACCTCAGACCCCTCCCTGCCCGGGGACAGCTCCATGAGGGCAGGACCCCGTGTGACTGGTTCACTCTTATACTGGCCTACCCAGAGTAGGCGGCATCATACAAACAGCTATTCAAGAAATGAATGAATGCAAAACATATCCATGCCGGGTGAGTGATCCTGGGACCCAGAGGGGGGATGAGACTTGGTCCCTGGGCTCCAGGTGGGGACACAACCAGTTACCGCCTAAGGCAATGAGGGCCATGAGATGCAGAGACTGTGGGAACCCAGGGGGCGGGGCAATTTTATTGGGGTAACCCAAGGTTTCCTGGATGTAAGGACTTTAAGGTGAGCCTCAAAAATCAGAGAGCATTTAAGACCTGGGGAGTTAGAGGGGGCTGGAAGGGCATTTTGGGCAGAGGGAACAGCATGTTGCAAATGCACCATGAAGTTGAAAAGTATGGGAAGTTTAGGGGCAAACTCTGGTCGGGGAGGCAGAAGATGTGGTGGAGGAGAGACAGTGAGCACGGTGGGAGACCACGGTGGAAAGGCGGGCACAGCTCATGTCCAGTTTGGCCAACCAGGCTAAGGAGCCTTTATCTTGGGGCAATGGGGAGCCGTGGAAGGATTGAAAGGATCTCTGGGAGATGGATTCAAGGGGTTGACACCAGCTCCTTCATGAGTCCTCCAAGAATGAAGAGGAGACCTACACTGGGGCTGGGCAGTAGGGTTGCAAAGGAGACAGACTAGAGAGAGAGGATCAGGGAACAGAAAGGACCGGACATGGTGACTGATAGGCTTGGGTGTGAACGAGAGAGAGGTGTGCAGAGCAAGGTCCAGGACTCTGACCTGGTGACTGACTGAAGGGAGGGTGAGATAGGGACAATGTAGAAAAGGGCATCGCTGAGGTCAGCTTTGGTTATGGTGACTGAGAAGGGCCAAGACTTCTGGGTCTGAGGGAGGAGGGGCTGGGGGCCAAGACTCCTGGGTCTGAGGGAGGAGGTGGCTGGGTACCTGGACTTCTGGGTCTGAGGGAGGAGGGGCTGGAGGCCTGGACTCCTGGGTCTGAGGGAGGAGGGGCTGGGGGCTTGCACTCCTGGGAGAGGATCAGGGAACAGAAAGGACCGGACATGGTGACTGATAGGCTTGGGTGTGAACGAGAGAGAGGTGTGCAGAGCAAGGTCCAGGACTCTGACCTGGTGACTGACTGAAGGGAGGGTGAGATAGGGACAATGTAGAAAAGGGCGTCGCTGAGGTCAGCTTTGGTTATGGTGACTGAGAAGGGCCAAGACTCCTGGGTCTGAGGGAGGAGGGGCTGGGGGCCTGGACTCCTGGGTCTGAGGGAGGAGGGGTTGTGGGCTTGGACTCCTGGGTCTAAGGGAGGAGGGGCTGGGCACCTGGACTTCTGGGTCTGAGGGAGGAGGGGCTGGGGGCTTGGACTCCTGAGGGAGGAAGGTGAAGGTACATCCAGGAACCAGTATCTTAAGAAGCAGGACACGGGTCTAGATTACAGGAGGGAAGTCAGGGCTGGGAGAAATATAGGCTTTTTGAGGGTGAATGAGGAGCCTGGACCCAGCTCAAAGAAATTACAACATATAAGATAAGGGCAAAGAGAAAAATTGATAGAATTACAAAGTTACCATTTTCTAAGCTATAGTGTTAACCAGTCCAAGCAATGACCACCAATGCATGGATGTTAAAGCCTTTAGGTAAACGATTATTAGGACGAGATCAGAGTGACCTCACTGAGGTCTGGACAACCAGAGGTGACGCCCCCTGACCCGGCACATGGGAAGCACTCAGCGCACGGGAATCTGATCAGCCTGGTCCTCTAACCCACCACCTGCTGCGGGAAGAGGAACACGGCAAAGGACACGACCACATCCTGACCAAGGGACAGAGACCTGGTTTCTCCAAATAATATGGAAAACAGCAGTAAGTGGAGACTATTCAAAGTGAAACAACCCTTTTGGGGACCTGATTCAAACAGCCACATGGCATTTTTGAGGCAATCTGGAAACATGAAAACTGGAAATAAAACAATATTAAATATGGAACTGCCATCTGACCCAGTGACCCCACTTCTAGGAATATATCCTAAGAAACCCAAAATACCAATCAGAAAGAATGCATGCAACC